TATGTATAAATTTTTTCATAAAAAAACTTGGCCTTTAAGCTTAATTTATTTCTCTTGATTGAACGTAGAAAATATTTTTTTGTTTTATATATATATATATTTTAAATGTAAGAGTTGTGTCAGTTGGATAAATTTTCTTTATTCTAATTTGGCCTCCTAATTATGCTCTAGAAAGAAAAAAAAAAAAAACCAACATATGATTGTTTTATTTATTTATTTATTTTATAGATTTGCAATATGATGGTTATATAAGAGGTAAAATCATTTCTTAAAAATGCAATCTCTTCTATCATGTGATTAGAATTTGTAATAAAATCATAACCTTATCGTACATATTTACAACAAACCTTAGGTGCTGTTTGGTGTAGCTGTTAAAACAGATTATAGATTATAGCTTAACAGATTATAGATTATGACTTTAATCAGAATCTGTTAATCTGTTTGGTATACCTGTTGGATTATAGATTTAAGTTGCTGTGTAGTGTTTGTTAAATAAGCTGTGAAGTAACTTTTTCAATTAATTTTTATTTTCTTTTCAAACCCTAATTATATATATTAAATATATTTTTATAGATAATATATAATTTAATGTTTTCATTATAATAGAATTAAAACACTAAAATATTATATGTAATATTAATTTTATTCATTTAAAGGGCATATAAAAAAACACTATAGATAATGAAGAGTCCAATCCGAGTATTATATATATATTACTACAGTTTAGATTTATCCGTAGTTGGTTGATCCTTCTATATATTATATTTTTATCTATAAATAAATGCATACGCAATTTGGGTCTGAAGTCGCTCTTAAAGAGGAAATGAAGCATATGCTTCTTGTATTTATATAGGGTTTCTTCGAGATATATACATACATATATATAACTGTATCTCTCTCTAGGGTTTCGGTTGATGTTCTACAGAGTTCAACACTATGAGGAAGAAGCTCGACACTCGTTTTCCTGCGGTCAGTCACCTCTCTTTCTTTGTATGTATTTGTTTGTGTGTGACTTCATGTTTATCTTCTTCAATTTGTCTATTGATTTGTTGTGATTTCTGTGTTCATGTTTCTCTGCCTGTTCATAAGGTTGATTTTCAAAATATGTTTTCTATTTGGGACAATCTTGTACGGCTTGGTTCAGTTGATATACTATTCTCGCCTAAATTCATTTCCGTTATATATCTATCTATTTGACAAAATGAAAAGGGGAAAAAGCTAAAAATAAAAAATTTATTTTTGTACAAACCCGTCCCGCCCCCACCTCTTTCGGAACAACCTGAACTGTATAATTATAAAATTTGGACCAAAACTTGCCGGCATGAATTAAATTCGACCAGGGCTTGGGCAGAACTTTTCACGAAGTGAAGAATCCGAATTATCCAAATTCTAGTTATATATATCAAACATGAAATAATAGTATTAATTACAAATTTTTTTATCACCGTTTGGATTAAATTATGTTGCAATGTAATATATTCTATTGTTTGGTACACATAAGTCAAGGTAACTTTCGTATTATGGTTCGTATTTTTTGAGTTATGTTTCCTTTTTTCTTTTCAAAAAGTGCAATACGTTAGTTTAGGACAACCAATTTTTTTTTTTTAATGTTTTAATTTGAACAACCCGAGTAACACATCGGGCTAAGCTTGGACACACCCTCAACTTGCCTGAGTTGCAACCCTAAAAAATCCCCTAAAACAAAGAAAGCATTTAAGAAATGTGTGTGTGTGTGTGTGTGTGTGTGTGACTTTTCACGAAGTGAAGAATCCGAATTATCCAAATTCTAGTTATATATATCAAACATGAAATAATAGTATTAATTACAAATTTTTTTATCACCGTTTGGATTAAATTATATTGCAATGTAATATATTCTATTGTTTGGTACACATAATTCAAGGTAACTTTCGTATTATGGTTCGTATTTTTTGAGTTATGTTTCCTTTTTTCTTTTCAAAAAGTGCAATACATTAGTTTAGGACAACCATTTTTTTTGTTTTTAATGTTTTAATTTGAACAACCCGAGTAACACATCGGGCTAAGCTTGGACACACCCTCAACTTACCTGAGTTGCAACCCTAAAAAATCCCCTAAAACAAAGAAAGCATTTAAGAAATGTGTGTGTGTGTGTGTGTGTGTGTGTGAGAAAGAGAGAGAGAGATGATAATTTTCAATTTTTCACATATAAAGAAATAATATTATTTAGGAGAAAGTCTCCAAAAAACTATGCCCCATTGTTAAAACAAGCATCGCATTCAATTGATTTTCAATGCCATTAAAGGTTGATTTTATGGGCTTATCATAACTTCCATAGCTTGGCACATTGAAAAGGAAATTGTTATTCTGGTGTCACATGGGCACAATTTGCTAATATTACCTGAACTTGTACATGCACATTGCGCATACATATTCTTCAATTGACTGATTGATTCTTCAATTCTCTCTTAGCTTTTACGACTTCATTTAAGTGATCTTTGTGTTTTGTGTTGACTGATATTGAATTTATTGTCATGTATGTTTATTTCAGGAAAAAGGAGGGAAAAGTAAAGAAAAAGTGTGTTTATTTCAAATCCTCCCGCCCTAACCCCGTTCCACCCATGAAAAGCAAAAGAAAATTATTTTATTGAACGAACATAATAAAATTTCCTTACACTTTACAATAAGATTCCCATCTTCACTAGAGATGATAGCCTTGTGGAATTGACTGAACCAGAGAAAGGGGTGCCAGAGTTGGAGGTGAAGGTGGGAGTGTAGAGGATGAGATTTTAAAATCTATAGGTGATGCTACTGGAGGTGGGAGTTTTCCTATGGTTCGGAATGAGCCACATGGGCGAAGCAAAAGAAAGGAGGATTGCCAGGTTTCTATCTGGGTTTAGATCGAGATATGGTTGAGTTAGCCTAGGTAAATAGTGGGAAGTTGGGCTTAGTCTTGGCCCTTTTGGAGTTATGGCATTGTTATTAATGCTAGGTCTTTAGATCAATCTAGGCCGAGGTCTAGTCTTTAAGGATGAGTTCGGTTACAGGATGAGTTCGATTATGGGCTTATGAAAACCCTTGTATTAACTCGATCATTTCTTAATCAGGATATTAGTAGCCCATTTATCGTGATGGTGAGGCCCAATCTCAGTCCAGTTTATCTTTCAAGCAGAAGGATAAGGTTTTATCTACTGCAGCCTGCAGAGAATAGTTTTGGGGTTGTGTTAATTTCCCTGATGATGGAGAATGGTGGGTTTTTCCAAATTCAGAGGTTGGGTAGAGTTCGATGAAAGGCTTGTTTTGATAAGGGTGGTGGGCCTTAAGTTGGAATTTTTAGGAGGAGGTTGTAATGTCATGGAGATTTGTGAAGGTCGTTTATTGGTTGTTGATAGGATTGAAAAAGGTGGGTAAGATTTTCTTAAAGAAGTTGAGGTGTTTCAGAAGGGGATGATGACGTTGTCAATGTTGATCAAGTTCTTTAACAAGGAGGCCCTTCGTGGATGAGCTTATTGTTGGTTTGGAATTGCAGTCAGAGGTATCTCCTCTAGTATTGTTGTCTGCCTCCATCCATGTGATGTTGAGGTAGAGATCTTAGAAGATTCTGTTTATAATCAAGTAGGTCTTAGGGTTTCATTTCATGTTGAACATAATGAATCTTTAAATCTCATGAAGGAAGATAAACACTTTGGAAATGTGGAGAAATTTTATCATTTGTTTGTCAAGTGAAAGAGTTGGTTGTAGGTGATACAAAAAGGGATAAGAAGGTTGATGATTGTACTAGTCTTCTTGACAATCATAAGTAAAGATTTTGTAAGGTTAAGAAGAATATGGAAAGGGGAAAAACTTCTTCTAGGAAGGAAAGAGAACTTAAATAGCATCATTTTTTGGTTAATTTTGATAGAAAGAGGAGGGATATGAGAATTTAGTAGGGCAAAGTTTAGGACAACCAATTTTTTTTTTTTAAAATTTGGTACATGATAGTCAAGATATGAAATCTTAATGGGTCCGAGCAGTCTCGTTGTGAATGGAAAATTTTACCTAAGAAATTGGATTAGTGCTTATTCTGTATTCATGGAAGAATTCATGAAACACTTCAAAGAGTTGCATCTGGAGATAAAATTTGATGTTGTCATTGGTATTTGGTAAAGCTGGTGGGGACAAATCGAAATTGATGTCAGAAGCTGAGACATCTCTTTATTTGAAATTGGCATAGTTTTGAAGCATTTTAGTAGTTGAGAATGGTTGTATCTTGGGATGTATTATGGATTTTGGTCTCTTGGGCTGTATTTTGGGTTTTAGGTTTTTATTCCGTGCTTATTTTATGTTATTTTATTTATTTGTTTATTATTTTTAATTTGATTGTATAAGGGTTGTGCCCCCTCGGAATGTTCTCCAATGCAAATTTTATTTTGTTACTAAGAAAATAAAAATAAAAAACTATTTCCAGGAAAACTTACTAGAAAGTTACATTAAATTGTGAGTCACATTACTGTATTGGTTCACTTTATTATTGTTATTTTATTTTGGTATTTGGTCTGGGACATGTCCGGGTTTACATAGTTGATGTGTCCCAAACATACTTTAAAAAAGAGAAGGAGAAAGAAAGAAAGAAAGAAAGAACTAAAGGAAGAATTTTGAAATAGTCTTCATAAATTGGCTCGAGTCTATTTCTTTTAAATTAATGTGCAGTAACTACTAGGTTAATAAATAGTCTTCTCAACAATGTTTGATTTAATATTGGAAGGCACTTAAGTGATAGGTTTGACAAAAAAATTCCTGAATAAAATATTTATGCTTGCAAAAGTTTAGATAGCTTAATATCTCAAGTGGTTTTGTATGCCTACCCAGGCAAGAGTGCTTTAAATGCTTGTAGTAAGTTGACTGGCATGCCCATCGAAAAAGAAACTTAATTATCATGCCACGTTGACACAAGGAGCTGTTATTGAGAACATTGGGAAGCGGGTGCAGGAGGGGGGGTCACATAGAAGAGTATGGTTGTGAGCGCCTAGGGGTGTGTTTAACTATTTTATTTTTTGCTTAGTTTTTATATATAAATGTAAACACCACCACCAAATTATTAAACATTAGTATAGTAAAAGTAACTTCTCAATTCTTGCTGAATTAAAATTGAAAGGTACATAATATAAAAAAAAAATGACATCCTTTATGAGGAAGGGCAAAATCTAGGATAAATACGTGTTCTCTACAAAAAAAATTTCTCCTTGATAGTTTTATTTTGTTCCTTTGCGTTCAGATGTTTGAGTGGTCTCATCCTAGTTGGAATCATGATTCTATCTCGATGTTAATATGGGTTTTGACAAGATTTTTACGTTAAACAACAAAATTTTTGTTTTAGAGAAGAAGTGTCACTCCCAATAGGCGGTTCTTGCAATGAAGGTATGTGGTATGCCTGATGCTATTGTTCACGATAGGAGCTTGTCATACAAAGTTACATAGAGACATTGAGAGGGAAATCTAATTTTAGAACAATAATCTTTTAGCTCATAGATGAAGAACAATAATTGTTTGCTTTGTAATGCATGTTTTTTGTTAAGTTCGTTGTGCATTTTGATGTGGAGAGTTTGGGAGAGAATAGAAAGTTTTGTTGATGGTGATAGAGAAGAGAGACAAACTGTTTGTATAAACTGGCATAGAGAGAGGTGGATGTCCAGATGGGTAATGGTTTCTAGTTTCTCCACATTTTAACGTAGTTTAGTTTATTGACATGCTGGATTAGCAATCTGCAGCATTTTTATTTTTATTTTTGTGTGCTTAATGGGTTACACTAGTTTATTGAATATAAACTAGGGATCCAACTCTTTACAATATAAGATATTCAAGAGCAAACAATGAAATATTCGCAGGACTTTTGAGAGCTTTAAGTGGGTCATGGTCCCTTTTCCACCCCTGGTTCTGCCTTTGTACATGTTATTGCTGGAAAAGGAGAGTTGGAGAGAGAGAGAGAGAGAGAGGCCACCATTAACAAACCAAACGAAACCAAGCCAAGCCTTAAGTGTCTCATCTATGGGCCGGCTACATGAATCTTTCTTCCCCAATTGACTCTATCAATAGGCCATTTGGTTAGTCAAATTTAGGAGATTCATATCTCTATTTACTACACTAGCCCACTATATATGTTGAAATTAGTGAAAGATAAGATGTGTTTGCCTTGAGGTATTAGTAGAGGGGCTATCTATAGATATTTTCACTTTTGGCTTGGGCAGGTGAAATGGTGACACCTGTTTTATATGTATTGAAGTGCTGTAATCTTTTTCCCATCTGGCATCCCCCTGTTGCCTTCCAGTCACTAGCATTATGCTCTTATGCCCCCCAAGATGATTAACTCCTTGAAGCCCCTAGATCGATCCCACAGCATAACATGGAAAATGGCTGCCCAGTGCTTGCACCTACCTCTTTGATGGGCCATACTAATAAAATTTTCAATTTGTCTAAGGTTCCATTTCATCTTTTGGACAAATTTGCATCACTGGTCTAGGTGAGCATCTGTTGGCTGTACTAGAACCTGCTATAAGTAGTTGCCTTGTTAGGGTAATGTCTGTGAAGTCTCAGTATTAAATTATTTCTTAAACGAATGCACTTTGTTTTGACCATATTAGATGATACTTGCTTATGAGCAACCATTTATTTTGGAATTCTGGTGGTGTAATAAGCTTTAGTGTGATGCTTGTGTGTTAGGGCATCCTTGCTGGTTCTTCTACATGTTCAAATGCAAAAGATTTTGAGGGACCCTCTTTTGAATTGTCTAGGCATGGTGCACTACCTCTTAGTGCAGTCTGGATCTTTGGATCCCTTTTGGTGTATATTTTCTTTCCTTTTCCACTAATTTGCATGTAATACGTTTTTAATTTTTCCTCCCTTCCAAAAACGTTTCAAGTTGCAGTTTAACTCCTCTTTTGTCTATTATTTTTTAGTGTTTTCTGTTTTTATGTTTGTGTAGAAGATATTCTTTTGTCTGTCATGTGCCCTCATAATTGTTTACATCCTCTTTGAGGCATGTTTCAAAATCTTACTGTTTTATTACATTACATACCATTACAACGATGGCATACTCGTCCAAGTAGCATTAATCTGTTAAGAAAATTAGTGTGCTGTTCTGCAGTAGGTCAACTCTTGTTTCTGGCAGATGTTATTATGCTTGCTGTTAATGATTCTGACATTTCTTTAAATATGTATCTGGTTGAATTATCCATTACCAGGCTCGAATTAAGAAGATAATGCAAGCTGATGAAGATGTGGGGAAGATTGCTATGGCTGTTCCTCTTTTAGTTTGTAAGTAATATCAAGTGTTGTGTAGTTAAGAGTCATATTGCATTTAAGTGTTGTACATGTTAGTTCGTTAGACAATTGTTTTCTTTTACATTTCTCCTCTCTTAGTATCACGTCTTTTTGTGTATTTGTATGCAGCTAAAGCGTTGGAACTATTTCTACAAGATCTTTGCGATCGAACATATGAGATAACCCTCCAGCGGGGAGCCAAAACTGTGAATTCTTTGCATTTGTAAGTAATCTTAATATTTTTTCTTATTTTGGTAAGTCCCCATTTGATGGACTTAAGGCTTGGTTTGGTTTGGTTTGGTTTGGTAAGTTTCTCCTATAGAATTTGAATCTCAAATCCTAGGCAAAGGCAAAGGCAAAGGCAAAGGCAAAGTATTTGAATTTGTAACTTATGGGGGCTTGCTCCCGTGTATGTGTTGGTGCTCATACCTTTTTGTGAGAATTGCTTTCTTGCATCCTGGATTACTGTCATGGAAGCAGTAATCTGATCTACCATCATTTTGAGGAGATAAATTCCAAAAATAAGGAATCTCTGTCACATTTAAGAAAGTTGCTTTCTCAATGAGAAATATATGCAGATTTTGTTCACGCTTGGAAAAGCACACTGCTGACTTCATTTTCTATTAATATTTATGTGATCTGACTTGGTTATTTAACTTGCAGAAAACAGTGTGTACAAAGCTTTAGTGTATTTGATTTCTTGAGGGAGATTGTCAGCAAGGTTCCTGATTTAGGTGGTTCTGATGCTGCTGGTGAGGACAGATCTGCTGCCAAAAGAAGGTGCAGAATCATAATTTTCTGACGTTTGTGGAGAACATATATTAGGTGTATCATTCAATTCTGTTATTGACATTGTAACACTGTTTAACCAGGAAAATTGCTGATGATGAAGAGCATGACAGTGATGATGAGATGAAGAGGGGGAGGACGGTAAGATAATTTCTGTCTTCTGTATTTGTCATTTGAACTAGTGTTTTATTACATTAGCTCACACAAGCAAACTTGTTGAAATTCTAAATAGTTCAGCGTGGGTTTTTTTTTAAACCATGGTAACCTTATGTTTCTATGATGAAGGTTCTCATAGAAATTGTTCTCTTCAATTTACTATCGTTAAACATGAGAGTATTAAATAATTGTATAAACTTTCACTCATTCCTAAGCTTCAATGGTTAGGTAATTGTTGCTTTCCTCAATATTTATTACTAATAAGCCCCTTGTTTGTGTTTCCTAAATTACTATCTGGTTTGAAAGGGTGGTAATATAAAATCTGACTCAAAAAGCATTAATTGTTTGATTCTTTTGTGCTAGAGAGAATAATTCGTCAAGCATTTTTCTTTAAAAGAAAGAAAAAGAAAAAAAAGTAGGTGATCATGGAAAATTTTGTTTTTTAATTATTTTTATTATTATTATTATTTTGATGAAAGGAAAAAAAGAAGAAGAACATAATTGATATGAAGTAACAGTGGCAATAATCTAATGTTGCTTTGCATAATAATGGTTTGTGTTTATGCATATTGCAGCATGAGACTGGCCACACCAGTAGTAGTGGCAGAGGAAGGGGTAGGGGTAGAGGTAGAGGTCGTGGTAGAGGTAGAACAGTCGAGAGGGAGTTGCCTGTTCATAATGAGAAATTTGAAGATGATCCTGACATTTCTCAGCACAATGAGAAGGAAAAGCAAAACGATGAAAGGCTGGATAATGGTGCAGTTCCTGAATGCTCCAAGGAGAGCATTGCAGTTTCTAAGAATGCAGAAGCAACAGCTCGAAATTTTGACCTCAATGTGGGCTTGGACGAGAGTGAGGACTCAACCACTGTGCTAGCCTCCACTACCCCTGCTGTGCTAGCTGCCACTACCCCTGCTTCTACCTCATCAACAAAGCCTGCTCTTGAAATGAAGCACGAGGAATATCCTGGCTGGTCCCTTGCTGACATGGAAAAAATGGCCATTGATCCTGTTCAACTTGCCAATTTAAATGGAAGGATAGATGAAGAGGAGGAAGATTATGACGAAGAGGGGTAACTCTCCGAAATGCCCCTAGTGCTTGCGTTAATTTACATTATACATGTTGGTAGCTCCTTAGATTCTTATATTAGATATTGAATAGATGTTAATGGATATGGTTGGGGAGACAGGTAGGCAATTTAGGGAAATGAGGAAGTGCTCTAGATGATGTTTATTGGCATTTCTAGAAGGTTGTATAATATATTAGTATGTTTCTGTACTTGTTCACTAATTAACAGCAATGATCTTAAAACATATTGATGGTCGTAAGAATGTGAGCATATCCTTTTTTACATTTGTGTAATCATTCCTTGTTTGAGCCAGAATATTTTTCAGATTGTTTTGCTTTTCATGTTATGATGGCCTAACTTAAAACTTTTCCCATTTCTGTTGGTACCTCTCAATCTGTGTTTTTCGATGCCCAGTTCCAGCATTTGAAATGGAGCGGGCTTTTCATGGAAATGACTGATGCATCGCATGGCTGTTCTGTGTTTATTGTTAAAGGTCTCATCTTCATCCTTGTGTTGGATGATGAGTTGCCCTACAAAGTGGTCTTCTATTTTTTTGTTATTTTTATTTTTTGGTTGTATTTTTGTAGTTGTCTGATGTTATGATGGAAAGCATCTCAAGTTATCAACTGTGTACAAATGATTTAATTATTTAAGAGTGGATTTCAATGTGGTTAGTTGATTAAAATCCATTCAGGGTAGAAATATTTCTTTGGCTTCTCAGAAGCGATGACATGATTTTGATTTTTCATGGTAATGTGATGCGGATTCAGAATTGGATATGCTGTGTTTGTCAAATTTGTGCAAGGTGGATTATATATGATTTGAGTTGGATGATGGTTACTTTGTTGGCATTCATACCTGAATCTGTATGTTTTGTAGTTCGACTGTGGACCTAACCTGATGTCTTGAATTATATTTAGATTAATGCTTAGGAGCACTAAAAAGAGAGCACTAGGGGAACACTAATGAGGTGGCTCTTCATTTGATGTGATGGTTGTCTCTTGTGTTTTTCTTTTTTCTTTTATTTTTTACATTTTCTAACTCATTAGAGTTGTTAGTGATGGGATTTTTTAGTGGTCTCTATCATTGCTATTATATTTATGGTGGTATCCTCGTCAAAATTTAAAAGTCGTTCACTATTGATTCAAATATGAATGAAGTATACTAACAATCTATATAGTTTAGAACTTGTGTCACTTAGTCCCTGACTTATTAATTGTGATATATTTGATTTTGAATTTTAAATCTTGTTTTAAATAAAGACAATCAGAGATGTTTCCTTCGCAAATGGTCCATTTTAAAAGTAAAGTCGTCACGTAACTTATTTTCTATTGGTTAACTTATATGTTGTTTAAAATGTAATGGTCTTATTTTTAATGAATAATGTTGGAACTTTCTTGGTTATAAAATTCTGTTTGATTTGATTTTCAAAATCTATTTTCAGAAATTTTTTCTAAGAAATTAAGAATTAAATTGGTAAAAAAAATTAAAAACACACCATTTTTATATAATTTTATCTTTTAAGAGAGTAGAAATAATTTTTAAAAATATTTTTCTTATATTTATTTTCATTAAATTAGTTTTTATTTTCTCAAAAATCAAATATAGCGTCATTATTAAACCAATTCATTAAATGAAAAAATTCAAAGTTCAAACATTTCGTATATTAAACATATCGTTTACACATTAAAAGTCTAATAACCATTCATTACATGATAACCATCCAAAAATATCTATTAATAACAAATACATCTATTATATGATAACGTCCAAAAACATTAATAAGAATAACCACTCATTACATAATTATCATCAAAACACATACTAAACATTGATTTGATAAAAAATAAAAACGTAAAATATTTATTATTTTTATATAATTTTACCTTTGGTGGGTAGAAATAATTTTTAAAAGTTCAAAAATGATTTTTTGACATTTTTTTTTGTCAAATTAATTTATATCTGATCAAATTGACGATTTTGCCTTTGAAATAGAACAACGATGTCTTTAATTTTCTTTATTTGGAACGAGATTCAAAATTCAAGGTCAAATGTATCACAATTGAAAGGTCAGGGATTAAAGTAACACAAATCTCAAACTACAGGGACCGTTAGTGTGATTCGCTTTTCAAACATTATATTGAATGTATGTGTCACGACCTAAACCCGCTCTTATAGGTGTAGCGTCATAACCGGCCAGTAATCCGAAGATTACCTACGGCCTCAAAGACAAAATTCAAAATATTTAAATATAATTGGGGCTTGAAGCGGAAGCAAAACAAAAATAATAATGTCCAATGAACTGTGCGTACGTGTAGTAATTAAAACATTTTTAACACACTTTTATGCATTCACGTACGAAGGCATATTTTATAACATATCTCACACACTACACGGAGGACTTTTAACAAAACACAAAGATTAACCCATGCTTGACAAAATAAAATAAAGCCTCTACACAGAGATACTTCTTGGGTGGCTTGACAAAGAGACAGACTCTGGGGCAAACTCTAATGTTGATCCTCCAATTGCTTATCTACATATATATATAAAGAATGAGCTAACACCCAGTGACTAATACCAAACTAAAGAAGTTGTATAAATGAAATTCTTAATTAAGTAAATCACATTAATACATATTACATGTAAATCAAAATCAAGACGACCTCAAGTCCAATTCATTATGCTCAAGACTTATTAGAGGGGGCAAAATGACCTCGCGTCCAAAGTATTTGTCTAATCATATTACATGTTCTTATTCATATCTATGTGCATATTCATGATAACCTTTTTATTCAATCGACATTTAACCCGTTACATTCATATTCAAACGGCCTTTGCCCTATCACGATATTCAAACGGTCTTCAGCCTATCACGATATTCAAACGGCCTTTGGCCCATCATAACATTCAGATGGTCTTTGGCCCATTGCATTCGTATTCAAACGGCCTTTGGCCCATTGTATTCGTATTCAGACGGTCTTGGCCCTATCGCATATTATTCAAACAGCCTTTGGCCCATTACATTCGTATTTAAATGGCCTTTGGCCCATTGCATTCGTATTCAGACGGCCTTAGGCCCATCACATATTATTCAAATGGCCTTTGGCCCATTTATCAAACGACAAACGACCTTAGGCCCAATTTACACATATTAAACGGCCTCAGGCTCAATTCATACTCTTATCACATATCAAACGGCCTTGGGCCCAAATCATATTCTTCACAGAGTCTTATACAAAAATTAGGCATATAGAATACTCATTCATAATTCAAATCAACAATTCCATGAAGCTTATACAGAATTAGCATTTGAAAAATAATATACTTGAAAATATCTTTACTAAGATATTACTCACAGTGTTTAGATGCTTGAATCACTCTTGTAGTTGACCCTACACAATTCATAATACACATATAAATCAGGTCACAATACAATTCATTCTGTTCTTAATTTGTTTAATTCTCTTAGGTTTCTTTCTTACACTTTCAATTTATTTATAATGCTCAATGTATGTCTAAGAGTGCTTAGAAATAAAAGAGAACGGAAATCGGAACATGAAACAACTTTTCAAAATTTTCTGAAACAGGGCTTTTTGCTTGAGCGCAACATTAGTCGCTCGAGCGGACCTTTTGGTTTGCAAAGATACTAGTTACTTGTATTCTTCGCTCGAGCGACAACTTCTTTGCTCGAGTGATGATAACGAATTCTGAGTTTTCCAGAATGTTGTTTAAACTTCAAAACACAACTTTAAATGATACAACTTACATGTTTTGTTATATATGTCAACCATACAACTTCTAACATGACATAATGCCAATTTTACAAGATTTGAAGCTCAAATCTCCAAGGATTCATCATACAAGTCCAAATTATTTCAAATTTATTTCCATAACTTCAAAACTCATGCACATGAATTCTATATTTTCATGGATTGTGCATGCATGTGAAATGTAGACTCTAATTTCATCTCAAATGATAGAAATGACACTCAAAATTCAAGAGATTCAACAAAATTATGTATGCCTGTGTGATTTGGTGTCAAATTCTCCATGTTTCAAAAATCATCTTTCAATTTTTTATTTATTTTATAAAACATAAATTGAAACTATAAAGCTCTTTCAAAAATATTTGTTCGTATGAAATATAAATCAAAATCAAACTAATTTTTGATTCTCAAATATAAATTATAATTCATCTCCAAATTTGTCCAAATTTAAATTATTCATTTTTTTCCTATCAAGCCCAATTCCAAACCCACAAATTCTAAAACATGAATTGAACTTTCAAAATATAATCTCAAAACTTGGGTTCATACATGGCTTGTCTAAAACCACATACGCTCTTAATTATTCAAGAAAATATGATTAATTTTAAATTATTTACATTTAAACTCCTTTAATTTAAAAATTGAACTCATTTGTTCACAAACTTCTTTAATTTAAATCTATGATGCATGAGTATTAAGACTTGTAGGATTTGTCCATGCATGTAGATATTAGACTCAATTCATGCATGACATTCCAAAATCAAAAAATATTCATGCATGACATTCCAAAATCAAATAAAAAATAATTGATTTCTTAATTAATTTCTTTAATCATGAATCTAATTTAATCTCTTCATCTTTGTTTTCTAATTGCTTCCAAATTATATGAAATTGAACTCAAACTCATTAATTTCAAGTGTAATACATGAAGTTTACAAAAATCAAACATAAATTTCATACCTTAAATTTTAATTAGCTCAAATTCTTGAACTTTCTCTCTCTAAAATGGAGCGTGCTCTCTCTCTCTCTCTCTGCGCAATGACTCAACTCTTAAACCCACTCTTTCTCTGGGAATGCTCTCGGCAAAACGATGAGCCACAGCTCCAGCACAATGATACACACCCACTTCTCTCTCCGTATTTGGATTCTCCAACATACACATAGCAAGATGGACCCCTTCTTTTTGACTTTGAAAAGTTTTTCACCAAGTGATATACACTCTCAGCACAATGCACAAATACACACACCTCATTCTTCCATTACACACTATGGGTGCACATACACACTAGCACATTTCATTAAGGTTCCAGCACATCACTCACATACACACATACACACAATAGATTTCTCAATACATCCACACACATAAACACTCTCAATTCTAAATGTTAAAATTGATGTATTATTATTGATTGTATGTTGATTGATTGATCTGTCTATTACAAATGGTTCCTTATATAGATGTAGGTGTAGTGGATGGTGGTGGTAGGTGAGTGTAGTAGGTGAGTGTGTGGTAGGTGATGGTAAGTGTGTGGTAGGTGATGGTAAAGTTTAACAGCCCCCCGCAAACTCAAGGAGGATAGGAACTAACCAACTTGAGTTTGGAGAGAGTGACAAAACAAGAAAATACATAAAAATAAAAAAAAAGATAGGAGACACTGTATGGTCGTGTCAGACCGTTGGTGAAGGTACTGTATGGTGGTGTCATAACGTTGTAGAGGACACTGGATGGGTGTGTCATAACGTGGTAGAGGACACTGTATAGTGGTGTCATAACGTTGTAGAGGACACTGGATGGTGGTGTCATAACGTTGTAGAGGACACTGTATGCTAACCGGAATCAAATGTCGGGACAGTTTATGGGGTCATGTCGGACCGTTGGAGATGCTAACCGGAATCAAATGTCGGGGCAGTTTATAGGGTCATGTCGGACCGTTGAAAAAGTCGCACCCTCAAAAGGTGTGCCCAATCTGTCAAAAGGCGTGCCATAAAAAGGTGTGCCCAATCCATAAAAAGGCGTGCCAGATATGATGGCGAGGCACGTGAGTGCCTTGGCTGGCGCGCCCGTTTGTCGTCTGGCGTCAAGTGGCGCGCGATACGCGTGGATCGGCCCTGGCTATTTAAACCAAGGTTGAGGCGGAGGCTGTGCATACCAGTCTGAAACCTCTGAAACCAACCCTTCTCGAAAAAAAACTCTGCCTCTTCGGAGAGAGAAACTGTGGAACACTTTGTAGCCCAGAAAATGGCTTCGTCTTCCCGCGGTCTGCTCACCCTTTTTCCCGACCTCAACGAGTCAACAAGAGAGAGAACTGGTGCGGTGGCACTGGAACCTCAACCAAGTGCCCCGGAGTTTGCTCCGTTGAACTTTCCGATGCGGTCTGTGGAGCAAAGAATGGCAGTGCAGTCGGATGCCTCTGGGTTTGCTCCGTTGAACTTTCCGATGTGGTCTTTGGAGCAAAAAATGGCGGTGCAAACTGATATTGAGGCCAATCAGTATACTTTGAAGTCATGCGTGGAGACCATGACGGCAGTCACAAACTTGTCACACCAGCTGCAGAGTAGGACAAATGAGGTGCAGCAGTTAAACGCCCAACTGGCTCTGCTCCAGCGCATGTATAAGGATGCACGAGCAGAGATAAGTGTGCTAAAGGCGGAAAATAAGGAGCTGAAGCGGAAGGCCACCGTCATGTTCCGATTTGGAGGTCCGCCATATGCTGCAGTGGAGGAGCATGGGGGAGTGAACGTGCTCGGTGGATTAGGAAGCACGGAGACCGGACTGGCACGGGACACCCAAGATAAAAGTAAGAAGAAGAGACCTGCAGTAGAGTAGAGAAGGGAAAAGAAAAATCCCTCCTGTGAGAGGGAGGTTGTTGTGTGTGGGGTTTTTTTTTTTTTTGGTTGTAGAAATGTGCTCGGGGTTGATCCCCGAGATGAATAAAATGACAAGGTTGGGGAATGGTGTTGGTGTTATTTTGTGGTGTTGTGGTGTGTAATAATAAAAATAAAATAAAATAAAACAATAGATAAAGAAAATAGATAAAAATAGTTATGGATGGGTGATATAAAAAACATCACTGAGATGTTGTTGTTTTGCTTTTTTTTTTTTTTTTTTCGGGGGAAAAAAAAAAAAAAAAAAGGAAGAAAAAAATAAAATAAAATAAAATAATAAGAAGATAATGGAAAACGGGGGATGCTCACGAACAATGGTAGGGATATGGGAAATATAGTATAATAAAAATAGTATAATAAAAATATATATAGATATATATATATATATATATATATTAAAATAAAAGAAAAGTGTGAAAGAAGGTGGGGGGAATATTTGGGCCAGTGTTGGTTTTCTTGTGTTCACTCACTATGGTCCCAGTGCTTTACAATCTCGACTTCGTGTTTACAAATGACAAAGGAAAGGGGGGGAATATGAAAATAAAAGAAAAGTGAGAAGTGAGAAGTGGGATTTCAAATGGGCAAAAGGAAAAGTGAGAAGTGGGATTTCAATATGGGAATATTAAAATATGGGAATATTAAAATAAAAGAAAAGTGAGAAGTGGGATTTCAAATGGGCAAAAGGAAGAGAGAGAGAGAGAGAGAATTCAATGATCCTTTTCCAAGCAGAAGCTGCTTTTCTAAGAGTATTTTTTGAATAACTCATTTCTGCCAAGCATAGGTCTGTTATCTTTACGGAAGCCAGGATCGGCGGCGACAAGCTTGGAAATGCGATCGGAGACTTCGAAGGCATGACGAGAACTAGACCAAACGATCTTCATGGCATCAACATCGAACTGAGCCTTGTTCCTCTCATCAGTGTGTGTGTGTGTGATAGTCGAGCCAGTGAGACCGAGCCAGCATCACCCTTCATGACTCCATGACCACAGAGCAACACACAACTGTTAGGAGGCAGCGGAGGAAGGGGGAGACGAAGACACAGTGGATCGGGAAGCCGAGTTGGGTCCGGAACTTGCGGCCCGTGCAGAAGGCTCGGACCAAGCCAGCATCAACTAGGGGTGGGTCCCAAGGACGAGCCGCAGAAGCCGACCAGAGCGGCTCGAAGTCGTCAATGCGATCGCCGTGCCCCAATTGGGCGTTGTCGACGGCGCAGACGGTGATGGTCCTCTGGTTGTGACCGGATCTGAGGAGCTCTCGAATTCAAAGAACCAAGATGTGGTTGATTTTGTGTTGAATAAATTTCGTGAGTTGAATCAGAAGGCAATGCAAGCTGCAAGGAAGCTCAGATGTTAAGGATGGAAAGGGAGGAGACCCAACGATTGAAGAAGGGGAAGCAGACACTTGAGGATACAACTATGAAACGCCTTTCGGAAATGGAAAATGCTCTAAGGAAGGCAAGTGAGGCAAGGTTGCCGCCCGCCGGAAGGCGAAGAACACCAAGATCTTTAACTTTGCTCTGATACCATGTTAAAATTGATGTATTATTATTGATTGTATGTTGATTGATTGATCTGTCTATTACAAATGGTTCCTTATATAGATGTAGGTGTAGTGGATGGTGGTGGTAGGTGAGTGTAGTAGGTGAGTGTGTGGTAGGTGATGGTAAGTGTGTGGTAGGTGATGGTAAAGTTTAACAAAACTCTTCCATAATTTAATACATAATTATGGGGTTGTCACAGTAGGGCTGCAAACGAGCCAAGCTGAGCCGAACTTTAGTATGTTTAGACTTGTTTATTAAGATTTTTAACAAGTTTGAGTTTGAGCTCAAACTCAATAAAAATTTAACAAACCAAGTTCGAGCCGAGTTAGTTTAAACTTGACTCGAACTCGAGTTTGCTCACAAGCCTTAACGAGTCAAAAAAATTAAAATTATAAATTCATTCTTGCTTATCAGACTAAAGTTATAATTGAAATTTTGATTATATAATTATATATACAATATATAAATATACTAAAAAAAGTCAATATTTATCAAAATAATAATATCTACCACCGCTATTATATAAATGTATTATCTATAGTTAACTATTATTTACATTTACATTTTTTTAAATATATAAATAACATAATTGTCTTATTTTTTATACATACTTTTATATTATTTAATATATAAACAATAAATGTTAAGCGAGTCGAGTTTACAAGCTGAATTTTAGTATGCTTGGACTTATTTATTAAAATTTTAAAAGTTTGGATTTGTTTATTAGAATTTTAATGAGATCGAGTTTGAACGTGAACTAAAAAAAAAAAAATAACGAAGTGAGTTCGTCTGAGCTTTAATCAAGCCGAGTTCGAATCTATTTACGAATGATTCTGTTTATTTATAGTCCTATTTAAATGGTGATATCGAATGGAGATATATGGATAGAAGAGGACACCGGATGAAATTCGGATTCGTTTTTTTTTATTTAACCAACCGGTTTTGAATAAACCTGATCTGATTTTTTATTTTTTTTAAAAAAAACTATATGTATGTTTTCTATGGAAAGGATATCACACAGGTTAATTGAATGCTCAAAACGACTGAAAAATAATAACAATCTCTCTATCAAAAACATAATTTGTTAAAACTGTGAAAATCAAATAGCATGTTGCCAAGTTTTTCTATGAAGTTGAAATTCGAAAAAGAGGAGAAGATAAAGAAAAGCAAAATGATGTTGGGTGTAAAGTGTATTTGTGTGGATTATGGTGGGATCCAATTCTAGAGAGGGAGAAAATTAAAGACCCAAAAATATATAAAGGGAATTTGAGGGGGGGAGGTTCCGATTGGGGGGGGAGCTAATTGTTTTGATTGTATTGCTCTGTTTTGGTGTGTTTACAAATGAAAAGCTCTTGCCTTTTAAAAATGTTTGAGAGTCCTAAAATAAAAACTTTAAAGGAGCTCTAATGGGTGAGGCCTATTTATTAATATGATGTTTTAATTTTTTTTTTTTTGGTTAATGCCACATGTATAGAATTTCATTTAGAACTTTATACTAGTGCTCTCAATCACTGCCCCTTGCCTTTATATAGGCAAGGTTGCCAACCCTCTCAACCAATGACGATGAGCCAAGTACATGAAAACATAAAATTTCAGAACATAAACCTTACACTTTGGATCATTTACCATGTGTATTATCAAGAAATCAAGACAAAATGACATACCTGAATCCATTGACGAACGGTTAAACGGAAGCGTCTGATTGTCAATAAAACCTTAATATTGACTTTGTT